CAAAAGACATTGACTATTAATTTAACGTAGGTACAAATCTATAAAACGCTTTTTTACGATAGGACAGACAAGCAAGACAATGCACATGTTTAATTTTTCAGCCTATAGCATGTCATCTACTTTACCTTTGGAGTTGAAACATTCGCAAGTCTAAGGACCTAAACTTGCATTTACACTTCACACGGCTTTCCAAATATATACTGATTCGATATTTCTACTACCAAGTCTCCAGGTTTCTAGATGTCGGGCCAGAAAATTAGAAATATTAATATTAAAATTTACAAACGCTTGACCGGGTGGGAATCGCACTTATGACCCGTTGCTTATTAATTAAATTATTGGACTAACAAGTACAATTGTTTTTTCTAACTTTTAAATTATAAGTTATTTCGTCATTCGACAGTCATTATCCTGTAGGTATTTCCGTCCATGCTAGTCCCATATAAATCACATACAAAAACTACGTTCTTACTAATTTGAATAAGCTTTACGTTTTATAAGCTTGGGTATAGACTACACTAACGGCCCCAATGTAAATGCATCGACTTTATTTTAATTTAAAAAAAAGTAAATATATTTCTTTAGCAATATAATCACTTAACTTATGAAATCTATACTAATATCTAAGCTGAAGAGTTTGTTTGTTTGAACGCGCTAATCTCAAAACAAGTGAAAAATATTTTGAGCTATAAAATCGCATGTGACTAATACAAGCGAAGATACAGCGAGAATTTGAAAAAATTGGAAAAATTATTCATCGTTATGGATTTCCGAGGCGTACCTACGCTGCAAAAACAGTTCAAGTAATCCCAAAAAGATGTAGAAAAGTATGAATCCTCTTTAAGTGATCTAAAAAAAGCGGGCGACGCTATATGTCTATCTTTTAAGTTTAACTTGGAGGAACTACGGGAAGGGACACGACGCACGAACCGACGTCGTGGCTAACAGCTAAAGTTTCAAAAGATGAACGAGTTTGCAAAAAATTTGGATGTTCAAAATAAATATTCTTAGCGGACGAAGTCGCTGAAACAGCTAGTATTATGATATTAATTTACATTTTATCGAATAATGTTCACAATCACTTAATGTGAAAATAAATTATTCTTAAAGTTTGTTCTTTCATATTAGAAATGTAGTAAAAAAAATATTTAAAGTATGTTTAGTTCCAATAAACTGTAATTTTTTCTCTTTAAAACAGACAGCAATACATCTTTTATGTTTATTATTGTTACACTTACTCTGCAGTTAACTTATTTTTAATTTATCTTAACTAGCGCCCGTCGTCAAATATAAGTAATTATATTATAATTATATTTTGCTCTAACAGTTTTTTATTTATTTGTACCTATAGGTACAAATGATTCTTAAGGTTTGTGCGTTGCTACTTTTGTAAACAGACTTCTCCACCGTTTTTTAACTTACCGAACATATTGGTATATATTTATTATTTGCTCGCATTTTTTTATTTTCAAAACAGACAATTAAAAACCTAGAACAATTTAATTATTGATGTTATTGACAACAAGTTAAAACCGAGTGAACAACATCCCGTTATGAAGCATCTCTGTGCCCTTTCCTCATTAAACTTATTTTGCATACGGCTTAATGCGACATCGAGCGTTAAAAACTCATTTTAATCGAATGATAAATTAGTACAAATTATTTTTTTGCTCTCCGGCCAGCGTTTTTGCCATAACAGCACCTAATTGTCATAATAAATACCAAACAATAACTAATTATAGAAAAAGCGAGTATTTTAATCTGTCTGCATTGATGTGCACTTGGCTTAATTTGCATTTCAAACTTAAATGGCAAGAGGACACTTAAGCATTCCGGTATGCAAAGTAGCCCAAGAAATTGCTAAACTTTTTTATGCGTCTCTTATTATGTAATTCTATGTATTGGCTTCAGCCGACCGGCTGCTATGTTTATACTCATGTCAACGCATGTGACGGAACCAAAAAACATTATAGAGATAGTACATCCATAATTGATAGACAGGAATTCGTAACAATGTCTGAAATTTGACACCAACGAGGTGTAATAGTAATGTGAATAGGGCTAATAATCAACGTGTCGTCGTCGGGTCCAACGTTTTTCTAATCAATTAAATTATTTTCCGAATATCCAAAGCGAAAACAGTTTTGTCTAGTTTAGATACGGCTGGGCTGTTCCACCTACCATCAAGTTTGCTATCCTCTATCATTAAAAATGTAACAAAAAACGCTGCACGTTTTTGACGGTTCGTTATGTAGCAAGTGGTCATAAGTTCAATTTCCACCAACGCCATGATAGTTACAATACAATCTTAGACTCCGCCTGAAATATCTCTATATAACATGGGTGGTAGGAACATTGAAATTCCCTCCCGGTCGCGTACCACAAATAGATAAGTAATCGTGGTTCAGTTTCAGTGAAAATCTAAATAGGTATGCCGCAAGTCATTAAGATATTATAATGCTGTTATATTTTACCTTCCATCAACGGTATCTCATGTTTGTCTGTAATTTAAAAAGCCTTAGAAGCGTGTCTATTACTAATCTAGTATTAACGTCGCTTTTTAAAAAACATGCAAAAGCTTTGACACAATAAAGGTAAAGAGCAAAAACGCATGAAATATGCAATATTCGATTAATCAAATGCTCTTTATGAAGTTATTGTTAATAATTGTAGTGTTAATGTAATGGCCGAAATTATGTGTCACATAAATGCATAATGTAATCGTTGTTTTTTTTAATAGGTACATTTAAGACAAATTTTAATAATGTCAACATAGTTGCCCATTCATCTCTATTCTGTTAAAATACTAATTACTTGATGACTTTAGTAGCTTCACCTAAAATCGGAAATTCAAATCTCAAATCATTTCACTACATATTAAATAAACATTTTCAATGTTTCTTACCATCAAAACGTCTATGCACACAACTGTTTTCTGACATTTGAGTTTCACCTTTTGAGTTTAGACATCTACTGTAAAACAGACAGTCCTCATTCAAATTAGCTTGTATTGGGTATTATGCTTTTTGGAGTCAAATTCTGTTTCCCTTACTTGATCAGACCGAATGATTGCCGTCTTTTTTTATTGATCGAAATTACTTTCTTAGTACCTAGTTGATAAGATTTCTATGTCCAGAGTGACCAAAAGAACTTACATACATATCGTATTGTGGCATGTTCCACCAGGTTGAGGGTAAACTAGACTGAACTAGAGAGTAAGTGATGTCTTATACCAACTTATTGGGACTATAACCCATGCACAATTTACTATATCTAAATCTAATGGCAACAGTAGTCGAAAGCTACTTCTTGGACATATTATGTATAGCAAGCAATTGTTAATATCTTCTCTGGTCGTAGTGGTAGGTATATGTGTATAGGCTTGATATTCATCGTAAATTGTGTGGTAAGTAATTTCAAATACATATATGGTAAATCGATAAATAAAAACAAAAACGTTTCAATCTTTTAAATTTTTATTTGACAAAAAAAAATTAATTCACTTTTTTCTTAGTTCCGCTTTCCTTATTTATACATTGTAATTATTATGAAGTAATTAATCTATCTATATATATTTATAGTTATTAGGTATATTATATTCTATATTTTACAAAAAAATATTTACAATTTCATCCCGTAAAGACCCTGGCCTACTGGAACCAATCAAATTATTTCCAAACAAAAGGAGAATTAACTAAATACTTTATCTTTAATATTATACGGTATACACCAAAATCATTTGATTGGTTTTAGTAGTAAATAAGATACACGAAAGTACAGTGTAGAAAATTTGTCGCTTCAAACTTCAAACGCGCAAAGTATCTTGCAATTAATTGTATAAAATTTAATTATTTTTTATCAACGTATAAACATTATTAACGCCGTTTTTAAATTCCAAGTCTAAATGCAGCGAAGCAATATTCTTCAATGGATTGCAAAATAGACAATATTTCGTTTAAAGAAAACCTTAAAAATTATATCACAACAGAATGGTTTGTATTTCTGTTCATTAAATAAATAATGGCTGAACGCTCAAAGGGTAGTATCAAATTTAACATTACCATTTGAAAATTCAGATGAATGTTTTAAAGCTTAAAATAGTGTTTATGAAATAAGGTTAACTTTTTAAAAATAAATTCACTATACGTGCCACAAAATCGGTAGATTGTCGTTTGGAATCCGTAAATACGATTTTCGACGTAAGGAAACGTCGCCGACATACCGTGGGGATTTATTTTACAACATAAATAAAATGGAATGTTGATCGAAATAAATTCTGAGAGTAGAAAAACGAACACCGCGATTCATATATAATAATATGTACATTATTGCACGCCTAATAAAATTATATAAAACTATACATTTAAACATTGCCTGTATACAAAACGATTACAATGGCATACATAACATCCGTGGCAATTACAGTTAAAAGTTGGTTGTGCCGTTTCCACGGGCGAGGGGGGGATTTGGGATTGTTCTTTTGCCCGGCGAAGTTAGACCGCAGGCCAGACCCTGTAGACAAATAATTTTTCAAATTAATCATTTTGCTCATGCGAATAAATAGGGCTGACTGGTGAGAGCGGATTCGATATTTGAAAGTGACATTTACATTCAAAGAAACGAAAGGACGTCTACAGATAAAACAACAATTCATAATCTGTGGTTCGTATTTATATGTGCCATTGTAAATCGGAGCGGTCTACTCTGTAATAGAGAATGGTTCTCACGTGACAAAATGTACGCAGTATTTTGTATCTACGTCTTGAGGTAGCTAAATTTCTATGCTTAACGAAAAATAAAGCTGCTAGGCTAATAGAGAAAATCTTTACTTTATCGATCAATAATTCTCAAAAATTATCGAACTAATGTGTATGTTGATATTGGATGCAAACATCGTTGACTGCAAGAATATTTCTACATATTTTTGTCACGTCAAAACTATTCTAGCGCTTATCGCGCGACACGAGTCTTTACAATTTTAGATATTCTTAAATAGATCTTCAGCTGTCGTAACTCTGCTCATTTGGTCCTAAAAATTGGCTCCGGAGACCCATCCGGTGAAAGAGGGCTAAACCGTTTTCACTGTAAACAACGATTCTCTGTTACTCTAATGGCTGGACTGAGAAAAACTGTAGTACATGAAACCGCTTGGGTTATTTGCAATGTCATGTTTTAGTAACGTTATTGCTACTTTCCCATTGCTTTTGACATTTAAAGTACGTTTAAGGGATAACCTTTTTTGTTGTTAAAAAGTCCAGTCGATCCAAAGGATTCTAAGACCATTCTGTCATTGTGTCTCTCCGTATATAGCTATAATAAGTCAGTTCTTATACTCACGTCAATAATCCTGGGTTGGCTTCAGCCTGGTACCAGGAGTACTGAGGCACGTACGGGGGGTGCGGCTGCGGCGCCCCCTGGTGATGTAGTGCGTGCGCGTGCGCACCTTTCATGTCCCAAGGGCCGGGAGGCGCGCCCTGTGTGCAATACATTGTTTGTTAGTTTGCTGTCTTGAATTGGCTTAACCGTTCAAATATTTTGTTTACCTTCGACATAGACTGTTTGAAAACTTAAAAATTTTTCCCATGAAAACTTTATTAATTAAATATCGCATTTTAAACCGTAAAGTGTTTTATTTAAATGTGTACTACTCGCGTAAACTATAGACAGTATTTGACCACAAGATTATTATTATTATTGAAAATTAAAGAATTTATATAAAAAAGGGCCTAGCAAAATGGTTTGAACTTTGAAGCCTCATGGATTTAGTTCATAACGTCTCAAGGAAGGCAGGTAAAAGTGAGGCTTTCCAGGAAAGCGCCTGGTTAAGTGACACTTGAACTTTGGGACAAAAATACTTTAGTTACACAAGTCGTGTTCTAGTTTCGGAGAGTGCTTCAGCTTTTACACTGTAAGATGTTATATTACAACTTTTAGACCGGCTCACTCTACCCAAAGTTCTATGCATCCTGCAGTAAAAGTGATTTTTTTCAATGATAGATCTATCTTCCAGACAAGCAGAGGGTGCATTTGAGAGGAGATGATATACCCCAGCTTTTGTACTATTATTTTTGTAAGAATATCTAAACAAGACGCGATGTCCACCCATTTTAGCTTTGGACATTCGGAAATCCACAGACTGAAATCGAAATGCGATTAAACTTCATGGCTTTTTCATTAATCGGCCTTGGTTCGTGACCCGGGCGAAATTTTCGATATTCCTACCACTCATCTAATATCCAGATTTTCAGACAAACTCCAACATGTTTCAAAAAAAATTAAATTGAAAAACTAGAAGCATGTTTAACCTACGATCCATTAATTATAAATTAATATACATTGTTACAATTAGACCAACGAACCCGTCGAACGTGATAAATTGATCAGGTCTGGAGAGAGGTTCCAACTTTACTTCCGGTTGGAAAACCTTGTTCATTTCAAATAGGAGACAAGTTATCTATAACACCCGAAATTAACTGATAAATTGTCTATACGTGATAAGACTAATATCCATCAGAACAAACAATCTTCGCGTGTGTAACGCAATTTCGGAAAATGCCCGAGTCCTGAAGAGGCGTGACCACCACACCCTGCCTATATGGATTGCTACTCTGTTTAATTGGACGATTATTAAAAAGCGACTTTACATAACAGATTATTTGAGGCTGCTAGAGGCAGAGTGGCCTAATAACAAAAAACATGATTTTCAATAAGGAGGAAAATATATATGCGCTTTTAACTTAGGCGAAAATGAATTTGTACTATTATTTGTGTAAGAATTATTTATCTTAACAATTTTCGGTCACTGTGCTCTTGTAGATTAAAATTTGTAGACTATGAAAATATAAATAGTCAAGACATAAAATGGCAGTTAAGCTACTCTGCCTCTAGCGGCCTCATTTATTATACGTAGTGTGAATTGGTACTAAAATAAGAAACCTAACCTAACCATTGTTCCTCCCTAACCAGCGTTTGTAGTTATATCAATTTCTGAAAATTACCGCCCTACCTTTTAAATATAATTTGTAACGTGGATTAGATTAAAATAAAGATCACCTATGATTCTTATACTTATTATAGATAGGTACATAAACGATTGATGCCAAAGAGGAATATAGTTTTAACTAGTTCGATCCCAGCGCGAGAAAATGTTAAGATGTACTTACATAGCCAACCCGAGGATCCCAGGACTGCTGGTGAGGTTTGACGTCACAACTGCCGTCTGGTGAACGTCCAGCGTTCGGCTGCAACAAAACCATTACGTAAGTACAACCCTCAAATCCCCATTTGGGAAAAAAATTCTAAAAAATTGTCTGAGTACGCGATTAACTTTGAATTAACTTCCATATTCCCCCCCCTGGCCCTATATGTAAAAAAAATTTTAAATGAGTTTAACTGACATAATTCACGCTTTAAACCGTTAAATATTGTATGTTAAAGTTTACGATTCGAGGTAATATATTACATATCCATTTGCTACAATTTAAAAAATTTAAAACATCCAGGTACCTAATCAATCCAATAAAATTTCCACATTCAGGTTCGAACCTAGGACCCTACTGTGCCGCCATAACATCTTAAATAAAAGCATTATTAATACAACGTTTCTTACATATCCAACCTTAACATCCCACGTCTGCTGTGGGGGCTGCTTCACGTCCCAAGGCGTCCCCGTGGGGGACAGACCCGGGGAGAGCTCTGATACGGGCGTCGAGCTGGGCGTGGGACTGTGCGCTTGCGTCGGGCCGCCCTGATATGCCGATGGCGAGTGCTGGGACCCGCTAGAACTGCCTCCGCCACCTTCAGAGAAGATTAAAACATTTTAATACCTCCGCGTTAGTCTGAAGTCAATTGAACTTGCAAGCCTGAGTACCAGACGTTTGTGGGTCTGTACCTCCGGCTTTGTGAATTCATATATATGTTTGGTGACATAGTTAAAAATACCAAATAAAAAAGTATATCTTTTATGATAGATGAGGATAGAGAAGCATGAAGTTCACTCAATGGTAGGTAAAAAAACCCAGCCATTGGACATTCGTAAATACACAGACTGAAGCCGAAAGGATAATCTCCTAACTGAACGGCTTTTTCATCTAAGGACGGTGGTCCGGACTGAATTGCGACCTACACATGTATCAGAAAACGAAGACTATCATGTACTTCAGAAAAATATAAATCGTTTAGATAAATGCTGTACCCGGTGGAGATCAAACCCAAGACCCGTTGATTATTAACCAAACATTGCCAAATATCTAAATTTTGTAAGCTCTGAATATTCTGCAAGGGTTCTACGAATATATTCAGAAACAAAGGCAATTCGGTAAATTTAAAAAATCTATAACGGTCGCTAGTGGTAACTCTTTTGACTAACCGTGTAACAATTGATTGTTATTAGGCGGACTTCCCGGAGGCAGGCCAAGGTTGGGAGGTGGTGCACCCACTTGAGCAGCCTTCATCATTTTCTTGTACTTGCTCCGACGGTTCTGGAACCAGATCTTCACCTGTTGACAAAGGGAAGTTTCGATAAGAACGAGAAAGCATAAACATTTACTAGCGAGTAAAGTATTATGGTTAATGTAGCACATTAAATATTATAAACGGATTAAAACCGTGATCACAATATGCTAAAGGGGGTCCGAAACCTTGTACCGTAGTTTAAGAATAACATTAGGTACTAATGGCTAAGTATTGTGTGTCGTTTATTTTTTATTGTTTATTACCTACACATTTAAATAAAATTTTAACAATTTAAAACATTAAATGAATTATAAATACTTTGCCTTTTGCTGTAGGTAAAGGAAAAGCATCTGAAACGTGTAGTAGGTAGTAGTAGAAAATCTAAAATAAGATAACTAATATATCTCATGTTTTAAACCGTTAAGTGTTTTATTTAGATGATAGATATATTGCTATTTTTGATTATTATTTCATATAATTTTGTGTAAATTTTTTGGTTTTATGATCTTGAAGAGATAATTAATTGCTTTGATATCATTACAATGTAATGATTAAGGAAGCGTTGTTTAACATTGATCTACCGAGCGATTTTCTCGTCTTTCAGTCTAAGTGCTAGTTAATTGTGGAAGAAAGCATCGTCGATTCGTTTTTGCAATAAACGGAGCAGAAATGTCATTTCTAAGTGCACGGCAATTTTCCGTGTATCGACGTTGCGCGTCATTTTTTCCTCATACAATTATTGCCTTCGCGAAAATGTCGGATCGGATATAAGGTCGGTTGTAATAACGTATTACGCAATCGTCGGACCTATTATTATTTTATTTTTATTCTGATAATTATTATTATTACCAACAATATACATGTATCTATTTATTTGCAATGTTCTTGGAATTATGAAATTAATGGTGTAGGTACATATGGAGAGAAAAAACACTTGAAAGTATCCGAAACGTCGGGCCGTAGTTAAAACAAATTTTAAATAAGTTACCTGATATATTTTACATTTTAAACCGTTAAAATCGTTGTATTTAAATGTGTACAGTCTCGCCGTGACCACGCCTCCTGAAAAGCATTCGAAACGTCGGGCCGTAGTAAAAATAATTTTCAAATAAATTTAAGTATAAATCTAGTTTTAAACCGTTAAAGTGCTTTATTTAAAATTATGCTTTAACTAGTAATACCTATCTGTGTTGTCAGAAAATTTGAATATTTTTCAAAGTACGTACAATCGGTTGCCAGAATTTTCACCTAAACTCACGCATAGGGTGGCAGGGATAGATGCCGTGAGCGAAGGCGGAGCCACAAGCCGAGTCGTTACACACGAATAGTGATGTGCAGTAATTTATCGATAGTTTTTTGTGTGATCACGATTAATTAAATCGGACGTTTCTTTCATCTTTGATATTGGTTCGTTTACGTAATTAAAAGCTATGAAAATCTCTCTTCAAACAACAATCTCTAGTTGGTATGAATAGAAATACATTACGGTAGTTTAAGTAAACTAAACTAGATGGCGTTAATTAGTCTATATCGAGTGTTGGAGCACGACGACGACAAACTCCATAAATGCATTTTTAATTAACGACACACAATCGTCTATTGAGGCTTCCCTAAATACTTAATTGATGACGAGAGGAGCGCATTTACAGCCATTTTAATTATTAATGTAAATAACCGGCACACTTCAAAAGTCGCACATTAACGCGGACACGTTAACGATACTTAAAATAATAATTATCTTAATTAAATACGTCATCAGCACCCATCGAAGTCCGGTAAGGCGCGTCGACGCTCGTTTCAAAATAAACTACTTATTAACGGTAAAAACGTGACAGAAATAACAATTTAAGCAAGATTCATTGCAATTATGTTATGTAAGGTTAACTAGTATCGCGAGGAATTTTAATCAATGGGTGTACGTTTATTGTATTACGCGTATTTACAAACGAAATTGTATATCAAGTTATCCTGTAACACTATATATGTAGTCCTATGTAGGACATGAATTTGAACTTTGTATGGCGATAAATATACAAAATGTTACTTATACGAGTAATGTTGATCTAAACTATTTTTACTCTAAAGACTTATCCGGTGGTTTAAGCGCGTCGAAAATCCTAAATAAAACAAAAACAGACAATCAAAAACAATCTATCTAAGTGCACTATCGTATCCTGTAGAATAAAACTAATTTTATTCATTTGTTTCTGAGATATACGGGTATATAGGGTGAGAAATTGCGCATTTTTCATATATCTACTTAGTATATACGCAATTATAATATGACAATCAATTAACAATAAATAGATACACTAAGTATTATTTACTTTGCATAAATCGATAGACTTCATTCTAAATAGAATGAGCATTTAGCTCATTACTCATAAAAACTGACTTAGTGCCGAAGTAACGGATAGAATAGGCCTAGAAGTGCAATACATTTTGTATTTTATATATTCTTTAAATGAAGCACGTACATTTAAAGGCAAAAAATGCATTAACTTAACTAATATCAAAATATAATTAATTACTGCTTACATTAACCATTTATAGTAGTGACATAATTAAGTTATTAAGCAAAAATAAGGCGTTCATGAAATAAACATACCGAATATTGTTATTTGAGAATCAATTAAATCAGTTATCGATTAATTATTTTTGTAAAAAGATATAGTTTGTAGTTTGGTAGGTTGTCTGTATTTAGTTGAAATATGCTTTGTGCTTTTTTAATCTTGAAACATCGATCTTACTTACAAATAACCTATTTTAGACTAGCAAACATTTTAAGCTTATTAATATCCCTTTTTGTATATAAAAAAAATACCTCAGATAAGAGTTAAATACCGGTAAGAAGATAACAGTATTTATTACTGTTTATTACATTTCGACCTTGTTAAACTATCGATAGAAACAGCACAACCCTATCTCCCGTCCCACCCCTATTACGCGGGTCAGCGCGTTAACCCCCATACCTAACTAATGCTATTGGTATACCATTCTATTGCCTCACTTCAGAAATTAACTTGCAGGTTAATATATCAACCGCCGTATTATCACTTCGTATTCGGTCACTTACAAAATTGACATCGTTCTCTATTTAATGTCATTGGTCTAGTGGTTAGTGCACTTGACTGCTGATTAAGAGATCCAAGGATCAAATCATGGACATATAAATGGAAAAGAAAAATATAAAGATGAGAGATTTTAAGAAAACATCTAAAACTGGCCTAGAGTTTGGAAGTAGGGGCCATCATCCCCGTACCTTTGAGAGACCGTCAAGTCTTGGTTATCATCTTAGTTGTTTTTAGAGCCCACCAAACCGTAATTTGCAGCGTGGTGGGTCGAAGAGTAGATTTGGGAGCTTGAAACGAATAACGGGCAGACTTTTTCTATATTTACGTAAAGTTACGATAAAAAAAACCTCTTAAAACAATTAATGTACTTTTAGTTATAAGTAATTAAATATGGGAAGTTTTCACAAAATGATGTAGCCCTTATTCGTTGAAGCTAAGGTACGCTTAACCATGTCCAGTCTACAATTTCGCGTCTCATGCGCTCATTAAGAATGCAATTAAACAGCGCAAATACTAAAAATACATTTAAAACAGCAAAGAGACGTAAAAATCAGTAGAAAAAGCGCACCTTTCCCACCGTTTCGTCAACGGACGGCGGTATGCAATGTCGACGTGCCAGCGAGGGCATTCGGGCGGCGACTACAAAGGCCGACATAGATCGCATAGCACCGAGAACTTCGCAAATACAGCTATTCGGACACTTGGGATGGCGTTATGCTTTACTAATTAATCTCTTGCCGAGTATTTCCATCGGTTAACGTTTAAGCTTATTGTGCAAGCTGCTAGACCGCACCATGGTAGACCGATAACGTTGTTTAAGAAAAGGATACCACGAAGTTGGTTTTTTTTTTTAATAAAAACATGTTTATTTAATTTCATATTCAGACAATATAACTTTACTTGATTAAAGACATAGCATGGCAAAAATAGCTGTTAATTGTGAAATAAAATGTATAAATTGTTAAAAACCGTACAACACATTCTTACATAATTTATGCAATTCCAACCGTTTCTTCTAAGATTCTCTAACGCTAATTATATTGTCTGAGTGCCTCAGTTTTTGTATTCAGGTATGTATAATATCGTGTCAAAGATATTTGGAGAAGAAAAGTGCGTCTTTAAAAAAAACATTAAATAAAGAAGGTTTTCTGTTGGAAAAAAAATACTAATCTAATTTCAAGAACTAAGCTTTAAGCCGCTGGCAAAAGTTATATGGAATATTATTAACTCTACATTATATACCCGTAAACATAAATCAATCAAATATTATCGTAGCTTAATTTGTGAATGGCGATGCGAGAATAAAATAATTAATTATAAATATTTATGCGTGTTCAATCATGCATTACACTGTTCATTGCTTTTTTGTGTAAAAAAACAGTAGCTACAAACTGCATGCCGTGGACATTGAATGGCGTGGAGTTAATTTTAACATGATTTTAATAGAAACTTGTTTAAAAACAATGTACTTACATATAAGTATATATTTGTCAATTCATTAACTTTCTACCACCTACGTTTAAATAGTCTTTATTTAATTAGTTCGCAAAATATTTAAAATACTTCAATTAAAATATTCACACAGATAACTTACGGGAGCAATTAGTAAAAAAACAGACAGCTACATAATTACAACTGTCAGATTAGTGAAACTTACAAAATGTGCAAAAAGTTTCATTTGCATTATGGACTTTTTCACGCAGCAGATACCATTTACATACTGGCCATAGACAGCCTATAATTGTTTATGGTAATGCGTCACGTGACTGGCCGCATCTAGTAAAAAATACGTGTAAAAGATCTAACGTAATAATTTCCTCAGATCGATCAATTCCCGTTCCAGTATAGCTACGCCAATTTTAATTTTACATGATAGAAAATATTTTTAAACGCTTTTCTATAATATGTCCTATATATACCCTTGTTACTATCTCATATATATCTTTTAGTTTCAGATTTATACCTTACATACAGGCAACAAAACAGACAACAGACACTTTTGTGCTTTTTACCTGAATCGATTGCATAATAATCCTTTGTTCATAGACATTAGACTATGATCTATAGAAATAACTAAAAAACTGTGTCACAGTGATGTGTAGGTATAATTAGCATATCGATAGAACAAGTTGACGTTGTCGAGCGTACTAGATAACGAGCTGTCGTTATTTATATGCATCGCGAAGCAAACATTGATATAAATATGCATGAATTAGTGCACGGTTTCGCGGCAAAGATAATTTTTAATGTTATTCTTATAGACATCTAGATTTGTAGCCCTTATCAAATATTTAGTATTTCTTATAGAGTATCGTATGGATTTTAAACAGCTAATTTCACTTATATTACTAATGACTTAATTCGTCTCCAGTGACTTTTTAAAATTTAATGTCCTTATTATTTTTAATGTTAGGTGTAAGTTACAATGTAGTAGATACATGTCGAAAACCACGCATACTAAAAATTTAAAAGGTCCCGAAACTCCTTTGAAATTTATCGAGCGATATCTCCATGCATTCCGATATCCATTTGGCACAAATACGTCAAATGGCCTCTGTCTCACACTGGCTCGATTCCACTCGAATTTGTCTTTCGATATTAATATAAATTGCTGGTGGCCTTATCGTTTAATCCGTGCCGATTTGTACTGCTATTCATAAAATATACTTTTTATTACAAAAAAAATAATATACCAAAATATATATGTTTAAAGTTTAGACACTTAATTTGCATACATAGGTACTACATTTCGTTGAACACATAATATACACATGTAGGTATAATGACATTTTTTTCCTATATATATTATTTGTATATTTTAAAATCTGTTTCCTACATACTATATCATTAGGTAGGGATTTAATTGTAGAGCGATTAATAAACAATTTGTAGGTATCATTCATACTAATACGTTCTTTTTTTCTTGTAAATAGAAACCGGAATAAGGATCTTCTTATTTCCAAACAAATAATTAATGCATTTTTTTCTTTCTGTTATACTCGAGCTAGTTCTTGTCCTGTTTACAATGTAACACGTTATCGACGTACAAACGAACGTCATAAAAGCGTCTTTAAGTGTCACAGATTATATAAATTATTCATTAACGAGTCAATAGTGTAAAATTTCATTGACAGGAATGGATATTTTTTCAATGGAACCGCTATTCATTGCTAATCTTAATGTATCGATATCGATGGTTTTTTCGAGCTTAGAGCGTCACTAATGGTTTGTGCAATGCGAGCTGTCGTAGAGCCGTCTTTGATTTATAAGGTTTAATTTAATTGCAGTAATTGACGAGGAAAATGTTTCCTACAGCTATTTCAATGGACATTTCTCTTAATTAATCCGAAATGATCGAGGCGTATTCTTAGTTAAAGTGATCATTTTATTGGCGTCGCCATTGCAAGTTGTTCGGTCCTAAGACCAATGACAATTGTTTATATTGAGAGTGTTCCTTTTATTATAAATTAAGCTCTAAGGCTAAGCTCAAATTAATATATTATTGTCTTCCTGTATGTTTGCAATGCAAACATTTTTTAAGATCACTCAGTCTGCAATAATTTGAAATAAGTATAGCTTACATCCGTAAGACAGCTTTCGATTCTGCGAGGTCTCGATAAAAATTAACACAATGTTGTCGCCACTTCTAATTCTATGGGGAATGCAAGAATATGCAAACACGACAAGAAGGTAAAGTGGGTGACAGACACCCAATAGAGCTAGAGAAAATCGGAAAGTTATTCACACTTCTATCAACCCACAATAAGCACTCGCAGCGCCTAACAAAAGGTTTTTTCGAATGGCGACACGCACAAGTTTAGAATTTCACAAATCTCGCGCAGTAATACGAATCGAGTTTGAAGAGCGGCAAAAAGTGGCGACCTTTTTGCAGTTGTAGGTGAAAGCCCGCGCACATCTCGCGAAATGTCTTTATATTTGCCGACGGAGTTTTATTAGCGATGCGCGGGCATCCCGCTTTTTCCCGCGCGGACATATTGACGTTATCGATAAAAACATTTTGATGGGGCGCGTCACTAGTTTGTCGGATTCGCTTGTTTTCATCTTCTCGTGCCGCGCCTTTACTGAGCTGGCCCGAGGTTTCTGTATAAGATACCTCGCCCTTATATCATCATATCAGTCTAGGTCTACGAACGAGCCTTCAGCCTTGGATTTTGATGATAAAGAGATTCTTGACATCCCGGCATATTTAATGGATGAATTTATCCACACATGACAATGAGCAATAATGCCTCCAGACGTCGATGAGTGTCTTCATTTATGGTTCACTTTTAGGCTTAGAGCACTATTTGACCATGTGTAGACCATTCTTGTCCGAAGTTAGACACTTACATGGTGGCAACATAGGCAGGGCTTGCCTAAATTTTCATTCCTCAATGGGAATAAGATTATATTATGTGTCTTACACGCATATTTTCATAGAGAAATTGGTATGATTAAAGGAATTTGTTATCCATCCATGATTGGTGATTTTTCTCTTTACGCCGCAAAAATTAGGTGTAATTTTGGTGTTACATTTGTATTAAATGTAGCAACTTACCAATTCCATTCAATGCATTTTTTTTTAAATTAATTTATTTATTTTAAATTATCTTCATAAAGATAAAAATATACGTATTGCATATTTATAACGAAATATATATATCATTGATTTATTATTTCAAGCATATTCTTGAAAATGGGATTCCTGAGATACGTCAGCTAAGTAAAGGACGATATAAATATAATTAAATCGAAAACATTTTTGTGCCAATATTGAGTTGACGCGAAATATATGAAAAAGTGTTTGTACTCTAGATGAATTATTCAGTATGGATGTTACTGCTCCTTACCCACTATGCGCTCCTTAATAATTTGATTTTTAATAATTAAAATTAATACTTAATTATGGACTTTTTAATTAACAATAAGAATATAAGCTCTTCTTTGTCTTATAACGTCCGGTGAAATATTTATTCAGCCTGCTATTACTTTATTTTATCTATTTAATTCACCAATATTCCTCCAACTAAATACTTAACCTAAGAAACAAGTTAAGGAGACGCAAAAGGTTGTAAAGAACAATTATAGGCGAATACAGCGAGGAAATACAAATACTACGTATTAATTAACTATAGAATATGAAAAAAATCATATATCCACCCATTTTCAGCGATTATGGGCGTGCGGCATATCTGTGCGTCCGCGCAGTGCGTAAGCCGAAGGCTCTTTGTCTGCCAAATTTAGGGTTGGCATTTTTTCAACATGTTAATAACGTGATATATCATTCTCGCCACGCTCATAATTATAATGGTAATGGCGCTTATTATGGCCACGTGCCCGCTGTCGAGATGAAGCTGAAACTCCTATCCGATATGGTGTCGGAGGCAATTGAAATTCGGTTATCGAAACAACAGTTAATTGTATCTCATTTGCGGGACAACGGCGCAATGAGTGTCGGCATGCTTACTATTACTTTCAGATTCGATACTCGATAAGTAGATCTACCAATGACTAAAAAACTTAGGATTAACAAGAATCCTTTTTTCGCACTGATTAGTTAACGATTTTTAAAACATATTTGAATAAATTTTAGTAATGTACTTGTGTAGATTAGACGTACTAAGTGAATTTTAATCATAAGGGAGGACAGACAATCACGGTTTTCACTGGTCGATATCCAAAGCCAAATATTTTGGCTTTGAATATTTGAAAATCTACAGACTGAAACCGAAAATTGGCGGCTTTTTTATCTATGGACGGTGTTTCGTGAAATTTCGATATTCAGACGAAGTTCACAAGTTTCAGAAAAGTTATAAATCACTTAACTATACAGATATAAGCATATAAAGATTTTTCTCCAAATTTTTGCGTAAAAAGCTAGTCCCAATGAAATATTTGTGCTGCGTATTTGTGTGTAGGTTTGTATGCAATAACGTGAGAAAATGCATCGCTTAAGAAGTAGACCTTGAGAAGTCAGAAAACGTTTTTGCTGCTGTCGAGAACGATGTTTTCCGTCTCTATCCTTATTCATGCTCGAGTACGAATATTATAGACTATATATATACATATACATATATATATTAATGGCATAGCTGTATACATTCTGTTATAGTCTCTTCAGGTCTATCTCGTGTTGTAAATAAAATTACGTTTTGAGCACCAGACGACTTTGTTAAATGCTTCCTCTAATAATACGCATTAACTTGGATTTCAAAGATATCAATTTTTTTTTCTTTTGTTGTTACATACATTGTCATCTCAAACTTGTATCCAGTAAAACATTAATATACATAAAGAGACTTTAAGAAATTCAAGCTAACCCCAACTCAGGGATTACATATTCCTTACTTGACATTGCAGGTATATGATGATCTCCTTCCTTTAAAGTTTGGTTTTAAAAGTATGGCTTAGATTAAAATAAACATACATTTACATAGATTTTTGTTTACTTATAACGATATAAATGTTTCAAATTTTAAATCTGTTTAGATTGAACAAATGAATCAATTCACACTTATAAAATAAATCAATATAATGTGTAACGCTGTGCGCCGATTGTCGTGATGGCCGGTTCGAGTACCGTCCTTGCCAAACTTTTGAACTTGTATAGTTTTTAATTGTTCAGATAAAATTGAAGTTTGTTTTTTAATGGCGAAAGAAATAATGTCGAATCGTGTAGGAAGACGACTCTCCCCCCGTTTCACACGGCCGAATTGGACAGGTCCAAAATCTAAGAATTGTGACTAATTCGAAAATAATTGGGCAACCGCTTCCGCCAAGAAAAAAACCACAATTGCCGTGTTGCGTGCCACATAGCAACAATACTATGAAAAAATACGACCAGCAACAAAGCAGTTGCGACCTTACTCCATTAGCTTACAGTCTAAAATATATTGACAAGAACCAGTAGGTATTTTCCAGTACCATTTCTCACGACACAGTAATAAGCATTTTAACGTTTATAATTTGTATGTATAAGAGCGAAAATCGTATTCCTTAAATTGTGTGAACTTTTTATATCGCGTGACTCGTTTTGAAATATATTTTAAACTATCCCACTTCCGCGTAGACCCATCCTGCTGTTCATGCCGTTCAATGGAAACGCGGTTTTGGCTTCACTACTAAGAACCTACTCAATGCCCAAAGCGAAAATAGGTAAATTATAAAATAAAATAGGTTAATTGTAAATTATAAAAATTTCATCTTTTTTATGATGAGGGCAGGCAGGCATAGATAGGGTTTACTGCATGGAAGGTGACATACTCTAGCCATCTATGACATCTTGACCAGATGCACTGTCGACCTTTCAAAATCATTTACAATTGATACTTCAAAGGAGTGGTAATTTGTTGGAGTGAACAATCTTTTAGTGCACTGTCAATTTTTGTCAATTCTTTTACAAGTTGTTCAAAAATTTAATTCTAATTAAACGATCATAATTTTATTTCATCACATTTACTTATTCAAATAAAACACGGGTTAAAACGTGAAATATATTAGTACACATTTAATTTATGTTACGACTCGATTTTGGATGCAGCAGCCATGGTCACGCGTTATAACTGTTAAAAGTGTTTTAAACAAATGTGTACTACTCTAGTAAACTACATACACTACCACATTTACTAAGTCAAAGCAAAGTGTTTCAAAACAAAACAATTTCTTATAGCAGGGTTGGCACAGTGGACGCCAACAAGGATATCGAGTGGCGTCGTTATTTTGCTATTCGAACCCTTTAAGGCTCATTAAATTATACTATTATCGTAGAAACTTGCTAACTATCTCTGATGAAACAGGGACAAACAGAACAATCTTTTTCTTCCTTAAATAATCCTTCACAGTATACATAACGTATATATATATAACCTCCGCGAGTCGATCGTTTGCATTGATTTGTGCACGATAGATACGGGTTCGAATCTCAGGAAACATTTCGGGCAAGATCAATTGCTGTATGTCGCATATCCACCATATGATAAACAGGGGAGGCAGGATGTCACAAGGATTAGTAACAATAACACAAAAAGTGAGTTTTAGTTGATTTTTAGAGAAAATTGACTTAAATATTTCAATAAAATTCAGATTCATTTGGAATTATCAAAACCCCGAACCGAGGCGGTCGTTTAACCCCCACGATCTCATCTAACCCTGTAATTTAACCCCAAACGAGATAAATTGGGGTCTAATTAAACTGCCTTCAAATTTAAACCATATGTCAAAATTAGCCGGTCGCCATGGCGACGGCCGAGGGTTGCAACATCCCTTATTACAATTAGCGATGTTGTGTTTGCGACAACCCTAATAAGGGTTAATCAAATTCTCATCGTCTATTGAGTTTCGGCACTTGTCAAAGTGGATTTAGATCATTGTTAATAAAAATTAGGGTTGTCATTCGGCAGAAACAAAGAAAGGCACCTAGATGTTACATAGAAAAAGAAGTCATAACAGAATATATTAGAAGCATGGAGAAAAGAAATTGTGTCAACAGCAAGCTCATTGGTCATTACACCAAGTAGCAATGTATGGTAACCAACGAGTTACCAAACATGTCAGTCTTCGTCTGAAAATCTACATATAATAATGGTAGGAATATCGTAATTCCATCCCGGTCACAAACCACCCTCCACAGAAGAAAAAGATAATAAATAGGTCGACAGCAGACATCATTGACATCATCATCAATCAGACATCTTGTTTATTACCTATATGGCTGGGGATTTCACCCACCATCGAGTGAATTCCGTGCTAGTCTGTCTTCTTCTGTCTAATTTTTTTTATAGTTATCACTATCTTGTTATGTTATTCCAATAATATTTAAACCCAAGATTGGTCGTATTATATTCAATATATTAACCACTGAGCCAAATGAGTAAGCCACGTCCTTAAAAGGTCGTAAACGCGGAAATAATAAAAAAACTTGTAGCAATAAAACGACCTTAACTGAAAGTGTAATTAATTATATTTTTTATAGAACAGCACTTCGACCTTTGACTTTTATGTAATTTCTTTACGAATATTATGTTGTAAGGCGTATAGATTATTAAATAACTTTATACCGAGTGCTAAGTGAAGTTATTATCGTTTATCTACCGCCAAATGAAAAGTTACAAGTTATTTATGGATAAACATTGTGATACGAAAATTAAAAAAAAATACCTGTCTCTAGAAGAAAGTATTCTTAGGCTATAGAATATAAAAGCCCAACATTAGTTCAAGATATTATTCTAATTTTGATTCATGTAATCGATAGTGTTTGAAAGAATTGAAATGAGAGAAGCTACAAGGGACAACGGTGCTATTTTCACATTTTTTTCTTTCATACATCTTTCATTCGTTATTCTAAGCTCGCAATTTTATTCTGGATCTAAAAATGAAAACTTTTATTTGGCTTTCAGGTATCTATTTTGTCGGCTATCGTATTGTATTCGCTCAGAATTTTTTATCTTTATGGAAAATATGTGAACAAATAAATAAATATATAAGGGCACCTGGGGTCGAGGGTTTACATCCCGCTTGTATAATTTTTTAAATCAATTATTTTCTATTTGTTTTGTCCTTTCCAAAAGGATACCCGCAAACTGTAAACCGATTTCCTTGAAATTGAATTTTCTATGGTACCTCATACCATAAAGTAAATCATCGTCATTGCAGTCCGTAGCCACGTACAACTTGATCTGTCATTATTCTGATAACAGACTGTCTGCGTGAGAGCCGCTAGTGATGTTCCGTTTGCGTCGACAGATTTGCGGTTTATCGATTAAGGTTGTTATATTTTGCGAACTTCTTTGTACTGTGAAATTAGTTTCCTAAGCGACTAAAACTGTAGCTTGTTGAATAATGGTTATTTAAAGAAATGACATAGATAATATTTTTGTTTAGTATTAGTATTTATCTTATATGGAATAAAAAAATCTAAGAAAATATGTACAACGGAAAGAGACATAGCAAAGACGTATGTACTTCAAGGATTATCTGTTATTAATAACGTTTCACATTGACATTTGACATTTTCAACGGGTTTAAATTGAGAAGTATCTCATTCTTTTTAGTTTAATGACTTTCTAAAAGATTGCTACACTATAGACGTGAAAATATGAATAATTGTTGTTTTTATTTAATTTTTCACCACAGTCGTTAAGAAAAATCACGAAAATTATATATGTATAAAAAACTCTTTGTTAAACTACTATTAAGAAACACCTTGAAACATAGATATAAAAATATTCGTCATCTAATTCGATTATACGAAACGTCGTAGTGAAAAATAAGCAAATAGATATATGTATTAAATAGTATAACGTTTAATAGTAAACATTTTTAGCGGTGATTCTATCGATAGCGCATATGAATAATATCGACGCCGGCTCATCTCTACTTCATACTACGGTAAAGGTACAGCAATGTGTTTGTAAACATATAATTACTCAGTAAGTTGATGCATATCAATTTTTTCCATGTGTGCGTTTAAATACGTGTTGCTATACAGGTGGGTTCG